CTTGTCTCTTTCTTTCTTTCTGTCTCTCTTTCTTTCTTTCTTTCTTCCTGTCTTCCTTGCTTTCTGTCTTTCTTTTTTCTTTCCTTATTTCTTGCTTTCTTTCTAACTTCTCTCTGTATTATTTCTTTCTTTCTTTCTTTCTTTCGTTCTTTCTTGTCTCTTTCTTTCTTTCTTCTCTCTTGCTTTCTTTCTTTCTTTTCTTTCCCTCTTTCTTTCTTTCCTTCTGTCCGACCCCCTGAGAACTAGACAACTTTTTTTCTTTCTTTCCTTCTGTCCGACCCCCTGAGAAATAAAAGCCAAAAAATAATGGAAAAAAATAGTGAAAAATAATACCCTACCCGTCCAGGACTCAATCTGCTCTGCCTTGGCGGTCGCGCAGTCAGAGGCTAACAGGGTGTAACTTTCCTCCCCACCCACCCAAGGCCCGCAATCGATAACGCCAGTCGATTCGTAATAAAGACCGGCCACTTGATGAGCTGCAGGGAGTGTTTGGCGTGGTGGCCGGCTCGTTTGATGGCGTGGAACAGCTCTTTGCCATAGACACCTGGGCAAAGTTCCACCTAAGTTCCACCTTGGTTTCCCCGCATCCCCGTGCGTCGAGTTTCTCGGGCTGGTTGGGGTGCCCTTCGAACCGGTTTTATCTTCATCCTGGGCCTTCCTCAGACCATCAATGGCGGGAATAATGCGGTCCGTGGCCAGGGAGGTGCTCCCGGTAGCGCCCAATGCCTCGCCAAAAGAGGACCCGATCTTCTGCTCGGAAGCTTCAGGTGGTCCTCCTGCCTTCCCCGAAGTCGAGGGAAAAGAGACGCTACCCGGAATCCATGGGGGCGCCAAGAGTTCCCGAGGTCCGCTGCGACTGAATGTCTCGAAGGGGCTGGAATTACCTCTGGTTAGCCCAGGGGGGAGCCCTGGCGGTGGATGGGACGGCGCCGGCAAAGGGGGAGCGTGCAAATTGATCGCCTCCTCAACATCCACCTCTGGAATGTCCAGGGCTTGGGCAGTCAGGGTCACTCCTTCCTCAAGACTGCCCCCCTGCAAATTCCAGGCTTGATAGACCTCGTAGACCTCCGCCGAAGAGGGTCTCTTTCGTTCCGCGGGCTTCCTCCGCATGAGTCTGCAGTGTAACTTGCGGTCGGGGTGGTGTCGCGAACTCCTCGGCCTCGATATTCCTAGGTGTAAGGCGGAAAACCCGGCCCTCTTCATGGGGCAGGAAGACCTTCTCTGGGTCCGCTGAAATCTCCAACCTCTGGGGGCCTGAAAGGGAACTAGGCTGGCTGGTCTTGGGGCAAACTGAAACTCCATCGAAGGACCCAATCCACTCTGCTAGGTGACTGGGAGCATGGCTGGCAAACACCGACAATCCTGCGAGATCTCCTCCGGCTGGCTCTAAATGGAGGTGCTCGTCCAGCCATTGCTTTGGCAGGCGCCGGCTTTTTTCCAGAGCAGGCGCGGGGGTCACTGATGCGGCTGGAATCCTAAAGGACAGCCCCAAAGTGGGTACGGAGATAAGTAGCCGTTCGTTTCTCCTGGAGTCGGGGGCCATCCCTTCTACCCTCCGCTGGGAACCGCTGCTTTCCGTTCCAAATCACCCAATGGTTCCATCAGGGCCGGCGGCGGCCTAATCGGTGGGTGGGAGCGACCCTTCGCCCTACGAGTAGGAGAAGGATCATGGTGTGCAAACCGCACAGACCTATCGTCGCCTCGATTATGCACCTGACGGACTGATGAGGCTAATTCAGTAGTGGACTTTGGGGTTCTGGGTCCAGTGCTAGCAGGGCTTAAACTTCTCGCGGTTTCCGCAAGATGTTTCCTGCATTCCGGTCCCTCTTAATTCATACCATTAGAGTTTAGGGTTTAGGATTAAGGGTTCATACCAGTATGACTCTATGCCCTAAACCCTCTACCAGCCCTATACCCAAACTTCATAGTCTGGCTTAGAGTTTAGAGCTTAGGGTTCAGGGTTCATACAATTTTGACTCTATACCCTCAACCCTAAACCCTTTCTAAGGAAGTAGCTTCTCAACAGAGGCTGCCTCTTTGAGCTCAGCCTCCCCTCAGGGGACCCTTGAAAGCTACAGAGATGCGCAGTGCTTGAAGATGCTAAATAGGGGGGAACCCCTGAGGTTTAGGGTTTAGGAATACTGGAGAATTGAATGGAAAATGAAATGGAGGCTACTCTAAATAGGGTTATATAACAGAGTATTTGCAACTTGCTTAATAACAGTAACTTACTAGTCCTTAGTAGGGAATGAAGGAGTAGAATCCCTGTATAATACATTCCCTTATTCCCTACTAAGCACCAGTAAGGTAGTCATATGGATACCTTCAGGAATCTAGTTCCCGAACAGATTAGGTTCTGTAGCATACTTGGCCCCTCACAGGGCCGCCGATGTTTAGGGCAGCCTATATCTCAATCAGATGCAAGAGACAAGTCTTTGTGGCCAGAGTAACCCTTGACCTCCATGCACGTGATACTACAGTGTGTGCTCATAGACCCATAGACCCACATCAAAGGATATATATATGTCCAAAATTGTCACTGTCATCAGCAGTAGCGGTCCATGGAATCTCCGAGCCAAGAGGAACCCCCAATTTCTACGTACCATGATCTCAGTTTCGGTGTGTACATAATCACACGATAAAGCTTTCATGCGGATCGGGTGCCTCGAAAAGTTCGGAGTACACTGCGTAAAAACCGCGAGAATCATTCCCGAAGCCATCGAAGCAAGGCCCTCCTTAGTCACACCGAGTTTGCCCACATATCCATGAAGCACAATGCCTCCTGACGGAAAACTAGTAGGGCCTAGACGCTTCATGAGGACTACGTACGCATCACAGGCACGGCGAGTACAGCAGTATACCATCTAAGCCACAACCCCGAGCTCATTCTGCGAACGCATACTCAAAATCATGAGTTCGCTGTGTATATGTACGTATCTACATCTGTACATGATACGGTTTGAAATATAACACACTTGAATCTATCGATATATATGATATGTGTGTAGAACATTTTATGTTACATATTCTACCAGGTGCAATACTGCTTTACTACTCAAATCTGGGTCGGTGTAGGGTGAGGATTTAGCATTCAGAGTTCGGCTCTGACTTGTCAAATCTCAGGCTGCGGCTAAAGTATTTGTACAAGTTAATCTTGGTTTTGAACGGGTCCTGGCGGGCAAGTCTGCGCTCGTGCATGGCAGTTGCAGCGCCCCTTTCTACAACAGGATTGTATACTGTCCCCAACCTAAAGCCTGACCCCCAGCCCAAAATGAGGCCTCCAAATTTGGCCATTATTTGGAGGTTAGGCGGTGTTAGGCAGTTAAGGGTAGTTTTAGATTCTATGAAGCTGCTTGTTTTGCAAAATGTCTGCAATGCCCCAAACTGCTCTACATGTTATTAGGCAACTCGTACATGAACGAAAACAAAAGCCTGTGCCCAAAATCCCCAAAACCCTACGCCCCAAACCCCAACCCTAAACCCCAAAGCCTAAAACCCTAAACCCTAAAACACTAGAAAAGAACCTAAACCAAACCCAAAGCCAGAAAGTCCTCACCGGGCCCATCATCACCTCCGAGGATTTGCTCTCTGTGAGCATCGTACCATGCTCTCTCCTGAACCAGGAAGCCCTCATAACAATTCTGGTTTAGGGGTTCAGGGGTTGAGGGTCTTCAGTCAGTTGAGGTTACTGTACCTGTGTGTTAGGTTCCTCATTCTGATTTGATTGCTCAATGTGATTTTCCCTTACGTATGTACCCCATAGTAGGAATCTGGGTGGGAACCTTAAGGAAAGGGCACCTGAAAGTATCCTCCTCTGATGAACTCAGCAGGCGGCTGAATGAGCATGGAAAGATATGATACCAGCTCAAGGAACCAAGTGGGTAGTTTGGAACGGGTACCATTAAACGAGTCCTATGTAAACCTTATACCTTACATGAGCCGTATATGAGCTATAGTCTAAACTCCAAGTATCCCCCGTATTAACCCCTATATAATCCCCTACATAACTTCCCTTCGAGGAGTGTAGACTCTTGCTTATATGGGGTACCCAGCTGCTCACTACCCACCCGGGCTATCCTTCACCAGCGCATGCAATGACTCATTGAAAGGGAAAAGCACGGACATCCAGTATGAGGGTCCCAGTATATACCCTGTATTTACCCATGTACCCTTAAAGGCCTCCTAGAATCAGCCTAATTTGGCCAAGAACCCGGATGAAGGGCCCATGCTACTTGAAAATCATGTTCTCGCTGGACTACAGGACCCTTTTAGGTAGATAAGGCTCCTGGCATTCCTCTCTTCGATAGAACCATATCTCAAAGCAAAAGGTCAGCATTCTAGTCTTGCGTGATGGGTCCAAGGACCCAAATATTCTGGGCGGTTTGAGGAACAGAAACTGGCTATGAGGACTGAGAACTGACCCAGGCTTTTTATGGGAGAAGGGTTTGGGCTTTAGGGGCTACAAGGCTTGGCAGTTCACTGCACGAGAGTCTGAGAATCTCAAAGGCCTTTTGGCACCTGAGACCTCCTATCATGAACTTGATGGCAAATTGAGGGCGCTTCTGGGAAAGGCCCTTGTATCGGATCATGTTCTAGTTCCCTTCTGGTCCTCGTGCTCAAATATGATAGTTTCTATCGCCTACATAACCCTGTGAGATTACCAACGGTATTGCTTCGGCACCTTGACACTTTATGAATTGACACCGTTAGCTTCCCGCCTGCGCGTCGGACAGGACCTCAGACACAAGCCACGGGCAACCAAGGACGATCTGAAGGGTAAACTACGTACCTTCTCGAAAGAACCCATGCAGGAATGTGGTATATATTTAGGGCCCAAATTGTTTCCTATAAGCCTACTTTGGGGCCCTAATTCATATTGTAATATACCTACATGAACCTTTAGGGTTCCTTTACCTGGTCACTGGCCTGCCACAGGAAGGACAGACAAGACCCTGCTCCCCAACAAACAATTAAATCTGAACCTGAGGGGGCCCTATCCTTTCAAAAGACTGCTTTTCGGTCACCCTCCGCCCTAAACCTTTTCCCTGAAACCTCAGCCTTCAACCGTGAACCGCCGTTCGGGAGAGGGTAGTCGTCCCTGAAAGAGGCTCAAAGACGGCCTCCTGAGCCTGGACCCTAACTAATCCCTAAACCCTAAACTCTGAACCCTAAACCCTGAAAGGCTCAAAGTATGCTCTATGAAATCTGCTCCCGTATAACGAACCACCCTCCCAGTAGAATACCGTAAAGAATTCTATGGTTTGGTGGATTGTCGTGTGTAACAACAGATTAGCCACAGGGATGCATAGAGGTATGAGCTCGACCCCGCTTATAACCACCCCTGACCCTAAACCCTAAACCCCAATAGTATTGGGGATAATATGGGGATAATGGAAAAGAAAATGGAAACTACTACAATGGGGTTATATAGGGTTTATATAGGGATTATAGGGTATATTACCCATGAACCTTCAAGTACGATCTTCTTGGTTGCTGTTAAGGAGCTCACATCAAACTACCATTGTACATACATATGCTCGCATAAGTAGAGGGCACATGCAATAAAAGACTAGGTAGTTCTCGTACTAGTAATAGTTCGAACAACAAGAACAACAACTATTGCAGTAGTGATGCTAGCGCCTCCCCTAAACCAACAACCCATAATATCCTATAATATCCTATACTATACGTACTTCAAGCCCTAAACCCTATATAGAAGTTTCCATTTCTTTTCAATTATCCTCATATAACCCCTATATATATATGTATACATATATATATATACCTTATATAGTCTTTCATGAGGCTCCAGCTGAGTAGGCCTCCTGGATTTGTTGAAAGCGCTTGGTGGCTTCCTCTGGGCCTGAGGTCGGCGGGCTTGAGGATTTTTGGGCTTAGGGTTTAGGTCCATGTACCCAGTAAGGGTCCCTTTAAAAGGGACCCAATAAGGGTCTCTTTAAAAGGGGTTCTAGGGATGCACAGGGTTTTGGGTTTAGGTTGCAGGGTTTGGGGTGTGAAGCTTAGGGGTTAGGGTGGAGGGGTTAGGGTGTAGCAGGTTAGTGTGAAGGTTTAGGGTTTAGCGTGTAGAGTGCGAGGGTTTTAGTGTGCAG